TCGAGTAAGTTCCCATCCTGTAAACTGGATCGAAACCTGCTAGATCCATTCCGTACACCCCCTGCTAACTCCTCTTAGGGTCATCAAGATCAATAGATTTATATGCCATGCCTTCTAAAAGAGAATGAAGGATGATATACTATCATCATTTAAACAGGACGTTGCTGAAGGCTTACCCCTGTTATTTCGTTTGTGTATCTTGTGCCTGTGCATTCCTGTTGTGTCCCCAGTCATGTAAAAGTTTTCCTATTTTCCTAATTTGGTTACTGTCCACCTAGTAACCAAATTCTCCAACTAGTAGTCTAATCTATTCGATCTGTTCAGCAGCAGGAGGTACTTTTCAAACATAGCAAATAATAAAAATAATAATAATAATAAACACTATTTAAAGATGAATACATTTTTGTAATTTTTTTTGTCATTGCCCCTTACCTGTCTCTTACACCACCAGGGTATACCTATTTTCCACATTCCCTTAATTACAGATTACCTTACAATGTTTGAATGAACATAACATTTTACCCATGAAAAATCTAATTTCGTATTTAACTCTTTTTCAATTTTATTTGAAACAATTGGTATATTACAATTTATTATCAAGGAAATCTTCTAATAAAGTTATATTAAACTTAAACAACTGGTTGTTCTGCAGAATATATTAAACTTTTCTTGAGATTGATCTCTCTCTGAAATCCAAAACCGACCTGATGTCCCCAAATTTATTATCCAATGCATCCTGATTTAAAATTCTGCCCTTTTGTGATTCAATTTTTTTTCTTCCTTTAGAGTGGCTATTAGAGGTAGGTGTATGTAAGAAATAGCCAATCTCTAATCATTTCAAAAGTCCTTTGCCAATACTACATGTGCAGATTTTTTACTCGGCATACATTTTACTTTTCTAGTAGGTAGGAACTTTGTGCTACCATTAAAGCTGTCCAGACATTCATCTACCTACTTAATGAACAAAAGTAGCTAAAACAATGGATTTCTGTTTTAATTCACCTAAAATAATTATAGCCATTTTGTAATATATTATTAAACACACACATTATACAGTAGTTTTCTTAATAAATTGGAAATTACTTACCTCTAGATAGAAATGTGTACAAAGACGCGAGTTTGGTTCCAGAAATTGCTTCATGCAAAAAATAATATGCAAAAATAAATAATCCCCCCCGAAGAAAATTAAACAACAAAATCAGACTCAAAGAAATAAACGGGGCCCAAATTAAATTAATTTTAATAAAATGCACACGTTCATAACAACATTCATAACATTATCAGTTTTCAATTTTAATCGATACGTCGATGTTAAAAAACCAGCAACATCAGCGACCTCTTAGAATGGTATTAGTTTCATTGGAGAGAGATAAATATATGTAAAGATATATGTAAAAGAGAAAGAAAGTCATATATGTAATTTAAATGGACCACCGAACAGTTTTTCCTATTATGTTACACTGTCTCTGTTGTCTCTGGCAGTAATTACAACAACAACAACAACAACAACAACAACGATTGCTTTACACTGGTGTCGTGTCACCAGATATCCGCTGTTGTCATTCCTATTTAATTATTCTCGGTTTGTTTACAAAATTATTATATTTTTTTTTCTTTGGTGTACGGCTTCAACATCTAAGGTTATTAGCCTAATGTTCTTTGTAGAAATATCTTAAAAAAGCTAAAATAATTCAACCTATTTTATTGTAACTAAACACAAAAAACTTGAAATTATTAGTTATGTTAAATATGACAGAGTTAGAAGTAATTTTACCAAATTATTTGGCCGCGACTTAATATATAAATATACGTTAATTTGTGAAATAAAGTTAAATTCATTATTAAAATAGTAAAATTGATAATATTTTTTCTGTCACCAAACCAACCCCTGATTAGGTATCTTTCTTATTTTTAATTTGAAATATATATTGTGATTTTTATTAATATTCTTAATTTATTTGGTTCCTACTATAATTACCACAATTATTACTCCGTTTTCATAAAGCCCCACTAATGACTACAACGATTAGGTAAATTACGATATTGCAAAGTTTTCATGAAATAAATAAAAGAAATTGTTTGAATATTTTAAATAATTGTACCCTCTCAAAAATAATAAGCACGCCTCTGATTTGGTCGTATTTCTACCTGCTTTCACTCTCAATCATTATTTGTTTGAGTTTAGATGTAATAATTTTAGAGAAATTCCAAAACCTAGTTAATTCTAAATTGGATGTGGCAACAGTGCTTACACCCGCTTGCTATTCTACGCTTTCACTTGACTTAAACATATTGCACCTTCGGAGAAATATTGACGTAAGTGCAAACGTACTAAATATTGGGAATTAACATTTAAATATTTTAAAATTGTTAAAAGTAAATCAAAAGCATTAACTGCTTGACGAGACGTGCTATTAAATTTAATTTTTTTGTATAATTTATAAAATACTATTTAGAGTGGTTTTAAAAATTTTTGCAAATATTTTCTTTTAAAAAATTTTAGAAAACTCTAATTTAACTGAAATTCTGTCATTTTATCTCCAAAATTTGGTCAATTTTGTTCGCAGAAAATAGTTATTTATGCAACAACTATTATATGAAGCTATACTCTTTGGTGAGTGGGAATCTATTTACACGAGCCGTTGGTGAGTGAGAATAACCCACGAGCAAAAAAAGTATCTTTACACACGTGTTGCATAAAAAAATTGTTTGCAAAAAAAAAAATTATAAAGTGAGGCATCCCAACACTACTGACTTAGTTATACAGTTTTTTTTAAGACCACGCTGCACCAGGGCACAATGGCTACTTTTAAATTGTATGTAGGTAGGCAGGTAGGTAGGACACTACACGATCAAACCCATCTATTTTTTGCACTACCCAAGTAAGATGTAGTCCAACCGAAAATTCCAATGTTATTTTGAAATAATTTCTTAAATTATGCCAGCAATTACCTTCCGCAGTTTGTTAAAGTACTTTTGAATAAAGACACAATTTGCGGATTAAGCACAAACCTAATTTATTTATTAATAATAAATGGTGTTAAAACGGCATAATTGCATTTCTGTCACTGAATCTACACTTTTATAAAAAATAAATTACAAATATGGAAAAAGCAATGAGACATAATACATTTAGGTTTTTATTTCTGCAGGCAAATGGTTAACTATCGAAACTACAATGGCACAACTGACTATTCCAACTCTGTTGAACCAGTAGTGTGGGACATGTGCGTCAATGCACCGCAGACATAACATAACGGTCATCTACCGTAAAGGAATCTAACTAAAATTCTGACTTTTTTCCAGATAAAGTTGTGTTTTAGGACTTTTGTAGTATAATTACCTTAAATCATGAGAAATTTGCATTTTTATCATTATTTTTATAAAGGTGCGATATATTCATTGATAAAAAAATTATATCGCCGTAAAATCCTTCTATTTCTTTTTCACCAAACGTCTCTTCATTTCGGCTCTACAACTGAAGCGTATTTAATGCCAAACTAATGTAAGCATCATGAATATTATATTTTAATTATTAATAAGCTCTACATCTCCTTTTTATCTCTGGATGTCACACTTCTAAATTAATTGCATACTTTCCTGAAAATCGACTTTATCTATGATATTTATAACGAGAAAAATATATTAAACTGCCATTAAGAATGCAAATATACGTCTTCAATGTAATTTTGAAAACCTTTTGTGTGTTTTAGAGACTTATGGTAAGTTAGGAATTATAATCATAAACAAACCTTGTAACAAGACTCTCCCATATTTTCTTGAACTAATTTGGCAACTACGTGGAAAACACGGTGATTGTTTGCAATTCTACATTTTAAAAAATAATTGGTTTTTCGTCATTGGGTGTGACGTAATAAAAATAAAAAAAAAATGGTATATTTTGATCTGATAAACTTGACATACTTACCTAAATGTAATATACTTACCAAAAAGTAATATTATTTATGTCAAAAAATTTTTTGAGTTAAATAATATAGTTCTTTATCTTACTGCCACCTACAACTATAAGGAGTACCACAGAGTAGTGTATCAAACTTCTATTCATACCTGTATTACCACCTCAACTTTTTTACAGCGTCTGATGATCTTCACAATTATCAGCCACTTAGAGTCCTGAGACTTCTATGTGGATACTATAGTATTATAAAGAGAATATCAACACTTCAGCTAAAATTTTAACCAAGATATATTTACAACGAGACAAGTTACCAAGTCAATATATCAATATAATCATGACTAAAGTACTTGAAAATTCATCTAAATAAGAATACATCTGTAAAACAACAGGTAACACTGCAATAAATATATTTATTTTAAAGTAAATAAACAGAACTAAGTAGTGAAAATTAAATATTGTTTAAATATTTAAATAAATCTAGTACTAAGTTGGACAAACGGCATTGCGCTTCGGTAGTGCGCAAAACCTTTTAATACAAAAATATAGCGGGCAATTTAATCATTCTTCGTTTGCTAACAAACTGTTCCAGTTATGTTTCGAACCTGACATATATTACACAATAACATAGAAATCAGAATTTTCAACGATATAGTCAAAAGAACACATTAGCAAAACTATTATTTCGAGAAAAATGAGTTTAAAGTTTTACAATTGCATTATCCTATATGGCGCATGACACCTTCATCTCTTAGAAATGTCAATTGCTTTTCAAAATTGGAAATCAGAACTATCATAAACGAAAAATATAGCATATTTAACTTTATTAGGCTATATAATCATCTCTGAGATATAATCCAATTGTTGACAAATGTGACATGAAGAAGAAGAACGATTAAAAAGAATATAGTAAAGAAAGCTGATAAACTATGCCTGCATGGTTTTTGTGAAATATCAGTTGAAATGCCTAGAAATGTTTTAAAAATAAATAAAAAATGAAGTAGTTGATACTTTGATAAGCTATGCAACTTCTATGATATTAAAAATATATTATCATAACAGAAAATATATTCTACATAATTATTAATAAACGAGTTTTTATCATTCAAAAATTATACGAGAAAAACCTAATAAAAATATTTTAATTCAAGATGCATAATGATTTTACTTATTATGCAGTACGAAGTATATAAGGCTTGAAAACAATCCAAAACACATACAAGTTGACAACCTATAGTCATCATGAAGATCGCAGTACTTGGATTTGTTTTGTTCGTTCTTATTGTAAACGCTTTAAGTAGTCCAGTGGAAGAAGTGCAGGCCGAAGGTAAGTTAATAGTTTATTAAAATTACAGCAGAATTATAATTATGAAAAATATAGTTTATAAATATTTTCTCTTTCCCATAATGTCGGTCCTATTGCAGAAATTTTACATCTCTATAATAATTTGCAGTTTAGTTACATAAACTCTTTCCCTGAAAAAGTCTTTGTAAAAAGTAAAACAGTTAAATGAGAAAATTTAGAATGCCAATTAAATTTACTTATTTTAGAGATAACGCAACAGTAAAAATTTGTTTGAAATGAGGTAATTATTTAACGTGATGTACAGCATGTGGCTTAATTCCGCTGAAACCACATGTTATTTAAATAAGGAGTTTCTCTAATGAAAACGTTATAATGCATGTCATTTTATGAATGTTTTTTTGTGAGCGCCATGTTGATTTTAATAACCAAAGATTTTACAGTATTGTCTACGAAGCAATTTTATTCATCAGTCGATATTATTTTTTCTTAATCGATTTGAACTTTAAATTTTTGTATTTACTAAATCCAGTGTCTCTTTAAAATGTTTATATTTTGTTTAAATATATTTATTAGTGCATATGTACATGTTTGGATCTATAGACACTTGTCCTTCACCATAATAATATTGTTACCTCCTCTATCAATATATTTGAAATAAGATTAAAATAAAATAACTTTATCTTAGAAATATGTGACAATACTTAATTATCACTTCTATCAACAAAATCCGAATGATTACATCTCGATTATGATTACTAATTTCTGCCAGATATGGTAGACTTATCTATTGTAAGATATTCTATGTGTATCTGTAACGTGTGGAGGGTAGGTTAATCCACTGAACTTAAGCCTCACTAGGCCCATTGTGCATCCTACTCAGTATATAGGCGCCTTCTAGATCATGAACCACCCTACAGATTTAATGTAGTTGATAACGTCGCCAAGAGGTGCTTCCTTTATATCGGCCGGTGTTAGCCAATTCTCGCCAAAAACAATTTTTCTAATAAACAAAAGCATCAGGAAATCGTACATGATATGCTCAATGGTCTTATCTCCTAAGATAGTCTAGTCTACAATAATATTGATGAATCTACTTGAGGTCCGTTAGTTTCTTCAAACATTTTCGGTCTATTATGAATTGCTGACGAGACTTGGCAGATTAGACATCCATAAATTGATCGAGTTTTTCTTTTTGAAGTTATTTGCAGTGAACCATGGTAAAATTGCTTTAATTTACATACTGTGCACGACAGCATGGCTAATTTGTCGTATGTTTAAATATTAACTGCGAAGGAAATATGAAATAATTCAATTTTTTTCAGTGTAATCATGGCGCGTTACTTATTTGATCAGGGTAACAAAATATATATTTAATTTTTAAAATAAATTTTTGTTTCAGAACATAGTCGAGTTAAAAGATTCTCCTGCGACGTATTGGGTTCGATTGAGGCAGGACCAGTTAAACTAAACGATGCGGCATGCGCAGCTCGTTGCCTTTTGCAGCGCCACAAGGGAGGATATTGTGATGACCGAAAACAATGCCACTGCAGATAAACCAATTTACACATTGTTTGTTACATACAATTTATAAATCTAATAAAATCTAAAATGTCGCTTTATTAAATAATATTTGTTTTTCTTTAGTACCGAACCAGTATCTGTAAATGTAAGGTTGGATTACTCCACATCACTTAAGCCTCTTTTCGCCTACTGTACATACTCCAGAGGCATATATGCCTCTCGACTTGTTACTGGTTACTGCTAAGAACTGTCTAGAGACAGACAGCTTCCAAGCTCGTTAAAATCCTGGAAGTTATCAACTCATCAACAACCTACTGTTTGTTAATAGAGTGTGACTAGGGATAGCCGTCTTTTTACATTAAGGTACTGCAGGTTAATGACGTCGTTGAGAGGTTTTTCTAGATTTCCGTTTTTGAAAGGGGCCATTCGGTAGGCTTTTACCACTCCAATGGTAAATGCCCGGGTGAAGCCATTCTGTCCACCGGTTTCACATGGCAATAACGACCTAATAACCACTACTGATAATTTTTAGTTCTGTTCATGAAGTAAATTATTTTAAAAACTTACCAAAAACATCTCAGCTCTACATATTTCTGATAAATAATCCAGGAAATAAACTAAATAATCTTTTAAATTCAAAATTTTAAGAGTAGGTATATATAAAGTGTCCATCCAATATTTGTATGTACTTATTAAATAAGAAAACGCTGAAACAGGCCGATCTTTATTTCAAAGGTGGCATCTTTTTCTGATATAAATGTATTTTGTCTGTCAACAGCCTTTCTTCCACTTCATCAACCACTTAATTTTAAATAGGGAATACACATTGTAATGTGAAAATTGACAATTTTCCTTTCATTTCAGCCTAATAGGCGATACCAGAGACAATAGAGACGTGTAACTTAATAGGAAAATTTATTCGGTGGTCCATTTAAATTACGTATATGACTTTCTATTTCTTTTACATTGATCTTTACATATATTTATCTCTCTCGAATAAAACTAACACCGGCCCTAGAGGTCGCTGATGTTGCTGATTTTTGACTTCGACTGGTGACGTATAGATTAGAACTGAAAACTGAAAATGTAATGAATGTGTGCATTTTATTAAAACTAATTTAATTTTGGCCCCGTTTATTTCTTGGAATCTGATTTTGTTGTTTAATTAGTTTTTCTGGAACCAAACTTGCGTTTTTGTACACGTTTCTTTCTAGAGGTAAGTAATTTCCAAATTATTAAGAAAACTACTGTAAAATGGTGTATTTAATAATATATTACAAAATGACTACAAATATTTTAGGTGAATTGGAATAGAGATCCATTGTTACAGCAACTTTTGTTCATTAAGTAGGTAGAATGAATGTCTCGACAGCTTTTATGGCAGCACAAAGTTCCCACTTACTAGAAAAGAAGTAAAATGTATGTTGATTAAAAAATCTCTGAGCATGTAGTATTGACAAAGGACTATTGAAATGATTAGAGATTGGCAATTTCTTACATACACCTACCTCTAATAGGCACTCTAGTCGCTTTTAGAAGATTGTAGTCATTTCAACGAAAAAAAAAAAAAAATTGAATCACCAAAGGGCGGAATTTTAAATCAAGATGCATTGGAAAATAAATTTAAGGACATCAGGTTGGTTTTGTATTTTAAAGAGAGATCAATCTTAAGAAAAGTTAACGTATCCTGCAGAACAACCAGTAGTTTGAGTAAGATCTGCTATAACTTTATTAGAGGATTTCTTTGATAATAAATTGTAATATACCAATTGTCTCAAATGAAATTGAAAAAGAGTTAAATTCGAAATTAGATTTTTCATGGGTAAAATTTTATATTCACTTAAACATCGTAAGGTAATCTCTATAATTAAGGGAGTATGGAAAATAGGTATACCCTGGTGGTGTAAGAGACAGGTAAGGGACAACGACAAGTTAATTACAAAAATGTATTCATCTTTAAAAAGTGTTTATTATCAATATTGTTATTTTGAATGTCTGAAAAGTACCTTCTACTGCAGAGCCGATCGAATAGATTAGACGACTAGTTTGGAAAGGTCCACTTACTCATCAAATTAGGAAACCTTTATATGACTAGGATCCCAACAGGAATGCACACGCACAATATACAGACGACATAACAGGGGTACGCCTTTAGCAACGTCCTGTTTAAATGATGATAGTATGTCATCCTTCATTTCATAAGTCATGGCGTATAAATCTATTGATCTTGATGACCTTAAGAGAAGTTAGCAGGGGGGCGGACGGAATGGGTCTAGCAAGTTTCGATCCAGTTTACAGGATGGGAACTTACTCGCCTCGGGTCTTATACATTTGTGTGACTGTATGTGTTTGTCTCGTTTTCATAAAATAAACAATCATAACATATCGATACCTTTTTGCCTGACTAACGTAGGCGACATTTGTTTAAATGGCACTCACGATAGTCTGGCAAAAAGGTATCGATATACTCTATACTTTATAAAATATTTATTACATTATTTTTTAAATATATTATGAATATTTAACAACTGTGAATTTCTTTGTGGTTTATTTTTTACTTAGGTAATAATCAAAATTGCTGCTGTTATTCAAAGAAATCCGAATATTATCGTTGTATCACCAGATAACAGGATATGTAACTACTAACAAATATCGTGCTGTAGTGAATAAAATATATTCTAAGAGACACAGGAGAGTATAATATCCGCTGTTGTCGTGCCTATTTCATTATTCTCGTTTCTTATACAAAATTATTTACATATCTTAAAAAAGCGTAAATAATTCAACCTATTTTATTGCAATTAAACACAAAAAACTTTAAATTATTAGTTATATTAAATTTAACAGCAATTTCACCAAATTATATGTAATAATTTTCAAGAAATTCCAAAACCTAATTAATGTTAAGTTGGATTTGGCAATAGTGCCTACGCCTGCTTACATTTTTATGTTGTTTATTATAAGCGCACTTACACCTGGCTTGTATATTTATCGCACCTTTAAAGAAACATTGACGTAAATGCAAACGTACTAAATGTGGCAATCAGTATTTAAAAAATTTAAAATTGTTAAAAGTATAACAAAAGTGTTTACTGCTTTACAAAATGTGCTATTATATTTTAAATGTTTTGTACGGTCTATACAATACCATTTAAAATTGTTTTAAGAATCTTTGTCAATGTTTTCTTTAAAAAAAATCTAAAAAACTCTAATTAAATTGCAATTCTATCATTTTTTTTCCATAATTTGGTCAATTTTGTCCGCAGAAAATAGTTATTTATGTAACAAATAGTATGTAAAGCTATACTTTTTTGATGAGTGGGAATCTATTCCATGAGCCAAAAAAGTTACTCTACACACCTGTGGCATAAAAATTTTTTTTGCAAAAAAAACAAACAAGTGAGGCATTCCAACATTACTGACTTACGTATATAGTTTTATTTTGGTCCACGCTGCACCAGGGCACAATGGCTACTTTCAAATTGTAAATATTTTTAAATTCAGTCAGGTAAGACACTACACGATCAAACCCGACCTTTTTTTGCACTACCCTAGTAAAGTGCAGTCCAACGGAAAACTATAATTTCTTAAATTATGCCAACAATTACCTTCTGCAGTTTGTCAAAGTATTTTTAAATTATCATGTATATTGGAACAATAAAGACACAATTTGCAGATCAAGCACAAACTTAATTTTTTTAATAAAAATAATAATTGGGGTTAAAACGGCATAATTGCCTTTCTGTCATTGAATCTACCCTTTTAATACAAATTACAAATATGAAAAAATAATGGCACAAATTACATTTAGGTTTCTATTGCTCCAGACAAATGGACAACTATCGAAACTATAATGGCGCAACTGACTATTCCGACTCTGTTGCACCAGTAGCGTGACACATCTGGGTAAATGCACCGCAGACGTAACCGTCATCTACCAGAAAGGAATCTAACTAAAATTCTGAGTTTTTTTCCCAGATAAAGTTATGATTTGGAACTTTTGTAGTAAAATTACCTTAAATTATGAGAATTTTGTACTTATGTCATTGTTTCTTTAACAATGCCATAAATTCATTGATAAAAAAAATTGTATCGCCGTAAAATTCTTCTCTTGGCTTTCACCAAACGTCTCTTCACTTTGGCCCTACAACTGGAGCGTATTAACTGTTAAACTCATCTGAGCATCATGAATAATATATTTTATCAATGAATAAACTCTACATCTCCTTTTCATCTCTGGATGTCACATTTCAAAGATAATTGCTTACTTTCCTGGAAATCGACTTTATCTCTAACAGTCGCAACGAAAAAATTACATTAAACTGCCATTAAGAATGCAACTATACTTTCTCAATATAATTTTAAAAACCTGTTGTGCGTTTTAGAGCCTTATGTTAAGTTAAGAATTGTAACCATAAACAAACTTTCTAACAAGACTCTTTCACATTTTCTCAAAATAATTTGGCAACTACATGGATGACACGGTGAATGTTTGTCTTTAGATTTTTTTAAACAAAATTGGTCTAGTTGTTTCTCGTCGTTGGGTGTGACCTTAGATAAAAGAGACCGGAGATGTAACATTGCACATTGCGCATGTTGTCTATTCCAAACCTAAGTAACCCACCAATTAAAAATCATTGTGTTCACGACGCCACCCGAATTGCTCCTAAATTTCTATTCTTTGCTTGTCTCCGCGTGAGTAAATCATTTATGGACCGCCGTTTTTGAATTATTTGTTGGTGTTATTAGCAATTTAAAGTGTTTTAGTTATTCAATTTCAAGTTGAAAATGCCACGATGTATGGTGAAAAATTGTATATACAAATAATATGTGTCAATGTTATGAAAAATAAGAAATATATTCCTTTTCAGCGGTAAATATTTGTTGACGTTTTGACATAAAGTCGCCATGATTCTTTGAGCTGAATACTTCAGATCCGCATTAAGGGGTTTCAATAAATATTTAATCTAAATAAGAAGTAAATAGGCATTGTTACTAACGAAATTTTGTTTTTAAAAAGTAGTTTTATAAGAATATTTACTAAAAGTGGTTTTTAGCCCTTTATTAGATATTTTTACAAGAATATTAGATGAA